TCCCCCTTTCCCCTGCCTGTCGTTATCATGATAGTACATGGGTAATGAGTAATCCCCCTTTCCCCTGCCTGTCGTTATCATGATAGTACATGGGTAATGAGTAATCCCCCTTTCCCCTGCCTGTCGTTATCATGATAGTACATGGGTAATGAGTAATCCCCCTTTCCCCTGCCTGTCGTTATCATGATAGTACATGGGTAATGAGTAATCCCCCTTTCCCCTGCCTGTCGTTATCATGATAGTACATGGGTAATGAGTAATCCCCCTTTCCCCTGCCTGTCGTTATCATGATAGTACATGGGTAATGAGTAATCCCCCTTTCCCCTGCCTGTCGTTATCATGATAGTACATGGGTAATGAGTAATCCCCCTTTCCCCTGCCTGTCGTTATCATGATAGTACATGGGTAATGAGTAATCCCCCTTTCCCCTGCCTGTCGTTATCATGATAGTACATGGGTAATGAGTAATCCCCCTTTCCCCTGCCTGTCGTTATCATGATAGTACATGGGTAATGAGTAATCCCCCTTTCCCCTGCCTGTCGTTATCATGATAGTACATGGGTAATGAGTAATCCCCCTTTCCCCTGCCTGTCGTTATCATGATAGTACATGGGTAATGAGTAATCCCCCTTTCCCCTGCCTGTCGTTATCATGATAGTACATGGGTAATGAGTAATCCCCCTTTCCCCTGCCTGTCGTTATCATGATAGTACATGGGTAATGAGTAATCCCCCTTTCCCCTGCCTGTCGTTATCATGATAGTACATGGGTAATGAGTAATCCCCCTTTCCCCTGCCTGTCGTTATCATGATAGTACATGGGTAATGAGTAATCCCCCTTTCCCCTGCCTGTCGTTATCATGATAGTACATGTGTAATGAGTAATCCCCCTTTCCCCTGCCTGTCGTTATCATGATAGTACATGGGTAATGAGTAATCCCCCTTTCCCCTGCCTGTCGTTATCATGATAGTACATGGGTAATGAGTAATCCCCCTTTCCCCTGCCTGTCGTTATCATGATAGTACATTAATCCCCCGTTCCCCTGCCTGTCGTTATCATGATAGTACAATCATTACCAGTGTAGGAGGTTGAGGTGCAGTGTAGGCTGGAGGTGGGGGTAAAGATGCCCCTCCCTTGCTGGGCGTGGACCTGGAAGGCATAGCCTGTCAAAAAAAAATATAACAACAAAATTAGTTTAGACAAAACATGCAGCTCAGTTATAAAGATTTCATGTAAACAATCAACTTATGCATCACATTACTTGCTAATGTACATACCCCTTTGCTGCTTGACGCTTTCATTATCTCCGTGGCAACAACTGCTGCCTAGATTTAAAGGGAAAAAAATTATTAAAAATATGTATAATTGTACATTACAAAACATTGCAAAGCATAACAAAACTGTTCTGTACCATGAAACATGGTTTAGAGGTTAGACCTGTCCCACATTCAATGGCTTCAAGTCAAGCCTGGAGTTTTATCTTTTGTCGAAAACTCCAGCCTCAAGCTGAAGCCATTGTTTTATGTACATCCAAGCAAGTGTTGGATAGGTCTATAAACATCTTTCTTTCCACTAGACACTGAACTCCAATCTATGATTGCAATATTACAACCTCCCCTTCCCTTTTACAATGTTGTTTGTCAATGAATTGCTATAATCGACAAGGATCAGGAGTGAAACGTGTGTGCAACCTTGCAGTGGGAAAAGGGGATAGGGTTTTCTCTTTGTTTTGCATAAGACTGTAGACTGGTACATTATTATTATTGTACTACTTACAGGAACTCTGTCAGACTGGAAGAGATGTGTTGCTGCATATTTTTCATCAGTTTGTTGTGTGGTAAACAGCAGAACGCTATTCAAATCAGAATCTTCATTGATATGCTGCACAACACTGATACTGGACAGCGGATACACTTCAATAACATCCTGATAAACAAATAAATAATTATACATTGAGCAAATAGCAAAATGAAGGTCACTATTCAGTATCGTGTGTGTAGAACTTTGGTGGCTGTCAGCTTTTAATGAAATCCCTGGATTTATACATGTTTAGTACCTGAGTTTCTCCATCAAGCAAGACAATGTCATTGTCTGTAAGACGCATTTCCATCTCCTTTGTCCACAACGTACCTTTGGCCAGCATTTCCTTAGGGGGAAAAAGATTTTGAGTAAGTCATTAACTTATTACATTAACACCAATATTAGATCATATTATTGCACCAATTATTGCAATATATACAGCATACCTTTGTTTCTGCAAGCCTTTCCTTGGCTGGTATTTGAGCCTCTTGGTTGCTTTTCATGGTAAAAGATGCCAAGTGCTATAAAAAAAACAACAACAAAGAATTACCTTAAAAATTACACTATTTAAGATACTCAAGCCATAAAATGTAAGAAAGCTTGGAAAAATCATACTAATGTATTCAATATTATCAATGAATAAATATATATTACCTCCAACAAAAAGTTGGTTCT